ACAGGAGTTCTTGGGGAAAAAATGATGGGCCCAAAGAAACTAAACAAGTAACAGCATGGCAATTATTACCTTTAGGTAAAACAAGTGGTTGTCTAAAAAGGGTGTTGCTTGGATTAGTCATACTAATGCAATGCTGGCAGCTGGGGCTTTTACCCAGAATGGGGCTTACCACCACTTTGGGAAAATGGGAACGGGAAAGTGTAGGTGGTTGTATTGGAGACCTTAATCTTCACCCACCTCAGTTGAAATTTGATAAGTCTAAAATGGATATAATCAAGGAATAACGATTTGTGCCAACATATTTGGAAATAGAGAGGTAAGAAATAGCTGAAATTGTTGAAGGTGCTGGGACTTGGGGGTGGGCTTTTTTTCCCCACAATAAGCCTCTTAGAACCATCTGACTTGAAACTGCATCACATGTTACTTTGATAAAAGTATTAATTTAGAGGCACCTGGACTCAGTCTGTTAAGCATCTGACTCTTGATTTCAGCTCAGGTCATGATCTCAGGGTCATGAAGTTGAGCCCCATGTTGGGCTCTGTGCTGAGCATGGAGCCTGCTTGGGATTCTCCCTCTCCCTCTGCCCCTCACCTCACCCCCTCTCCCACTTGTGCGCGCTCTCTCTCAAAAAAAAAAAAAAAAAAAGTATTAATGCTTTAAAAAGTGAATGAAATAGTGCTTGAAGGGAGCAGGAACAAAGAGCTCACTTATTTGAACAATTCAGATTCTGGTACACTGCAGGGATCATTGCCGGAGAAATAGGGAGGGAGTTCATATGAATCCTGCACTGGGTAAAGAGAAGCCCCCGTCTACCAGCATCATGTCCAGGTTGCGTGCCTGGCACTGCCGTCTGGGCTTCTCCAGGCCCCCCGCAGTGCTGGGGGGGCAGCATGGGTGGCACACAGAAACTCTCAGTTGAGACGAACAACTCAGGTCTGGATCCAAGAGAGCAGGAGCTCATAATGTTCCCGGTGTGGAGCTAAACCAACCACACTCATGCTTTATCTTGCTTCATCTTTCCAAGAAGGGTGTGTGTCCGTTCCTTTAAAGATTTATTTATATATTTAGAGAGAGAGAGAGAGAGCGTGCACCAGTAAGTGGGGGGGCGGGGGCAGAACGAGAGCATCTTGAGCAGATTCTGTGCTGAGCGCAGACCTGGAAACGGAGCTCGTTTCCACGACCCTGAGATCATGAACTGAGCTGAAACCAAGAGCTGGATGCTTAACCGAGTGCACCCCCAAGGCACCCGGGTTTGGGTCCTTTAATATCCTTGTTCAACCAAAGAGGAAAACTAAGCTTGGAGACATCAAAGAAGGCATCCACATTCATTGCATGTACTAGGAAGCAGAGCGAGGACAGGGACCCAGGTGTGCGGGACTCCAAACCGAAACTCCCGATCGTCCTCTGCTGCAGGGCCTCCCACCAGGCCGGCATAATTAACAACAGTGTAAACCGGACCGTGCCACTTGTTCAACCACTTTTGGTCCTTGGTCCTCGAGGAAGTCACTTAACCTCTCAGACACCCTTTCTGGTAAAGCTAATGATTCTGGCTCTACCTCTCGATTGGGCTCAATTAAGATAATATATGGGAAAATTTTAAAGAAGCTTGAAGTGCCAATGTATGCAAATGCATGTATTATTTTTGATGACAGGAGGGAGACAGGTGGTCTTGTTACCCTACTTGGTCTCCCACTTAAGCTTCAGGGAAGCAGGTTCTAGTAGGATCCTGAAGAGACAGCCCGGGGTTCTGGAAGACAGACAGCAGCCGGGTCAGCAGGCAGGCTGACACTGGGCGTGTCTTGGTCCCAAGTGTGGCTGGACATCTCCCCTGGAGGATCTGTAATATTAAATTTGGAGGACTTCTTCTCCTTTTTCGTTTTCCATGAATCCCAGGCTCTTTTGCGAGTACAGTATTCAGAAGCACCGCAGCCTTCAGCTCCGGCTAAGCATCTGTGACTGGACTGAACTGAACAACTCCGAGTGAACGGTTTCTCTCCTTTTCCCCAGGTGTCTGGACAAGCACGATTTGGGGCCACCTTTTACTTGGCGGAGATTTCATCAGTTGCGGAATTGGAATTTCCAGACATTTACTGCCCCAGTGTGCCCCCTGGTGGACAGTCTCATGTTTTACTTCCCAACTTTCTCAAAGTGCTTTCACATTCATGAAACAAAACCCCTCAGAGATGCTTGGGAGCTGCAAGCTAGAAGGCTGGTCTTAGTTCCACGCTAGAATGAGAAAACACATTTAGAGAGAGGAAGGATTTTGCAAGTTCCTGGAACTGTATTTAGTGTCTTTTTCCTCCATTCAGCAAAAACCCAAAATACTGCAGTCTGAGTGGTCTGGGTTTGAGCCCAGTGTAAGTCCTGGTTCAGCAACTGTCACCAAGCGAGGTCCTTTCACAGAATTGAACTTGATCCCTACCAGGCCCTTCATTATTGTGGTCATTTGCATTTGGAAGGACTATTCTGTGCAATGAATGTGCTGAAGTACTTCCAGAAGGAAGACTGACAGCTGATGTACCAAGCCAACTGGTGTGTGTGTTTTAATGTTTGGTGGGTTTGCAGCAATGCCTTAAAATAGGGTTTAGTTAATACAGGCGGTGGGATCTCCTCAGACTCCTTCCTCAGCCACTGACCACTTCACCATGAGCCCACTTAGCTTTGAAGTCCTCCGTGGCCGCTGGGGGCGGCGGAGGTGGGGTGGGGTGGGGTTGGGGGGGCGATCTCCACTCTGCGGGAGATCCTGCCCTCTGGGGCTCAGAGGTGGCTGGCCTGGAGTCAGGTTGCCAGCTTCTGATCTGTGCCCTTGGGTGAATCTCCTCACTTCCCTGTGCCTCTTCTTCCTCCCAGGGGAAACAGGGCTAAAAAGTAGTATTCACCTCTAGGTGCTGGGAAGATTCAGCTACACAACTTACAGAAAGCGCTCAGCCCCAAAGCTGTCCTTCTCCATGGCTGTTGATCAGCAGACCTGGGGAGATGCCCTGAAGTCTACATTGGTGCTGCACGAGGGACAGCAGTGTGGGCTTTTCCTTCAAATACCTTCTTCTGGTAGAGGATCTCAGCCCTGGTGGTGTTTGCAAGCCCCTCTCCCCAGGCAGGGGGTGTGTGGGCATTTGGGGTTGGCCAATGAAGGGAAACACTGCAAGCATATGGGGGAACTGGACACAGTGCAAAGGAGGGACCATCCCACTCAATTAAGAATTGTCCCTGAACAGATATGTCTCTAAAACAGATGTACAAATGGCCAATAAGCATATGAAAAGATGCTGGTTATCACTAATCATTAGGGAAATGCAAATCAAAATCATAATGAGATACTGCCTAACACCCATTAGGACGGCTATTATTTAAAAAAAAAAAGCCCAAAAAATAACAAGTGTTGGAGAGGATGTTGAGAAATTGGAAGCTTTACACACTGTTGGTGGGGATATTATGCGGTGCCGTGGAAAAATGTACTGTGGTACTGTGGAAAATAATATGGCAGTTCCTCAAAAAATTAAGCATACAATTACCATACAAACTAGCAATTTCACTTTTGGGTATACACCCGAAAAAACTGAAAGCAGGGACTGGAAGAGATATTTACCCATGTTCATGACCCGTGTTCATGGGAGCATTATTCACAATAGCCAAAAGGTGCAAGAAACCGAAGTATGCATTGGTAGATGAATGGATAAATAACACACGGTCTCTACGTTCACCGGAGTATTATTCAGTCTCTAAAAGGAAGGGAATTCTGACACACACTGCAACATAGATGAACCCAGACGTGAAATGCCAAGTGAACTATGCCAGTCACAAAAGGGCAAACACTACAGGATCCACGATATGAAGTGCCTAGGGTAGTCTAATTCACAGAGAAAGCAGGAGGGTGGTGGCCAGGGGCTGGGAGGTGTATAGAAGAGGGATTTTGTGTTTACTGAGTACAGAGTTTCAGTTTTGCGAGAGGAAAAGAGATCTGGAGATGGATGGAGGGGACGGTTATTGCACGAATGCTGTGAAAGCACTCAATATCATGGAACTGTATACTTACCAGTAATTACCATGATAAATTTTATGTGTATTTTAGCACAATTAAAAAATCTGCCCCACCTGAAATGCCAATAACATCCTTTTGAGAGATAAGTGGTCAGATATGCATGCATTTGGTTATAAGAAGTCCACTCAACCCTTGCATGTAACACCCTGAGCTCCTTACAACATGTACCCTCCTTAATGGCGGTCACCCAGTTACCCCATCCTCCCCTCTCTTCACCCCGGCAACCCTTAGTTTGTTTCCTATAGTGAGAGTCTCTTATGGTTTGTCTCCCTCTCTGTTTTCACTAAATTCTACCCCTGAAATTAATAATACACTATATATTACCTAATTGAATTTAAAAAAAATTAATTAATTAATTGAAAAGAAAGAACTATACATACTACAGAACTAAGGGACATAGAAACAATTTAATAAACAGAGAAATGTTTCATAATTATGAATGGGAAGAGTTCATCTTTTAAAGTTATATATTATCCCTCCCCTTCTGAATTTTTCTCCATCATTCAATACAACTGCAATTAAGTTTTTTGTGTGTTTGTGTTTGTTTTGCTACATCTTTTAGCAAGTACTCTCACATTTCTAACATTTATCTGGAAGAATAAACCAAACAGACTTGTGCAAAAAGAAGAAGAAGAAGAAGAAGAGGTCCACTCGTCCTTAGGGGCCCTGTCTACGTGGACTACTGCATCTGCCCTCCCCGTCCATGTTTCCTCTTTGTCTCAACTGCCAGGGAAAGGAGACTCCAAGGAGCCAAAACTTGATGAACTCCTGATGGGATCAGGAGTCCCGTAGTTAAATGGATAGTATTATTTCAGGATGTTCTCATTTATTTATAGCAATCCACTTATAAATGACCTATATTAATCAATAAAATCACACTGGGGCAACAACATGGGATTTCTGGCTTCAAATGATATTCTGGCTTTCAGTGGAAAACTGAACAGGAGGAAAGAGTTCTTACCTTGTAGATACAGGACTTAGCATTCAGAAAGAAGAGCTCGATGGTAGCATTGTCCTTCAGGTATGAGATGCTTTCTATATAGAACCTGAAAGAGAAAAACTGCTAATGAGCCACAGAGGCAGAAACTGATTGAGCTGAAAATCAGCTATTTTCTGAGCTACAGGATTTGACATGAGGACCAGAACTCCCCATCCTAAATGAAAAAGGAAAAGGCATGATCCGTTGTTTGCATATGGTTCCTTTTCAAAAGAAAGCACAGTTTTTCAAGACCCTTTCTAGCACATGAGGACTGCCATGCCTGACAATCTTGTCCAGAGCCAAGAAGCCAGGCCTCCTACCAGAGGGGGTTAAACTCAACCATCGCCTTTCTTTTTCCTAAGCCATGTTCCAATTTTTTTTTTTTTTTTGGATGTACAGATGGCCCATGGTGCCAATTTTATTTGCAGTCATTACAGTACTCCAACTCATGTTTACAAGTTACACCTTTGCCACAGCCTTGGCTAAATCTTGAACTAGTGCAGAATTTAGCTGTGCCAGCGTGCTGATCTTCGCGTGCTTAGATGTGGCATACTTGTTCTTGATGGTCATGTGCTTTGTAAGCCCACGATTCACCATGACTATATTCTTAGCCAAGTGTTGCATAACACTTAGAAGGGATTCTTCAGTGTATGATAGATAATGCTGTAGAGTGGGTGTACATTCACCGTTATGAAGAATTTTCAGTGCTAAGCAAAAGGCTCCTGCTGCAATCTGAGAAGGAGGAAAGTGCACCATATCATAGTCCAACATAGTTGGACACAGGTATTTGGCCAAAGTATGTTGCTCAACATCAACCTCTCCGACCTTAGATGCTCTCCGAAGGAAATGCGGGGGTAGAGGGCGGCCCAGACCAAAATTTAAAGATCTCAGAATCTTCACTTCCATCTGTCTGATTTGGTGCTTAGCGTAAGTGTTGTCAGTCACAAAGGCAAAGTCACCGATTTCTGGAGGGTACATTTCTTCATACTTGCTTGCAATAAACATGGCAGTGACGCCAACCAGCTGCAGCATCTTCTTGGGCACACAATTATTCTGCATGAACCGATCAATAATGGAAACAGTCATGTACATGGTCTCCTGAAGTAACCTGAACTTCACCTGAACCTGTACTAGCCAGTCAATAAGGACAGCTCTCATTTCCAGTGACTTCACGACCCAGTAGGTATTTTGGTCTGATGGCTTGCTCTTCCTCAAGTTGTCTCAGATAAGCATAAATATCTTTCACATATTCACTACAAAGGTTTGGATCAGCTCCATCTTCGGCATCCACATCATTCACTGCAAGAATTACATCAGAGAATGCCTGACCCAGATATTCTTCTGCAGGGGCACATCCAGATGTTTCCATTGGGCTTGGAGAGGGAGTATCAACCAAAATAGGCTCAGGCGAAAGTTTTTCTTCTTTAACAGGCTCAGGTTCTGGCTCAGGTTCTGGCACAGGCTCGGGTGCCTTCTCCAGAGGTTTAGGTAGTTTTTTAGCAATAACTTTTCCAGGAACCAAAGTTTTTGCTTCCTTTTTCAGAGGCAATTTGGCCTGTGGTTGTTCGTTGACTTTGTTACCAATGTCTCTGAGGGCTGTTCTCGGCCTCAGCCCGGCCTTGGAGGCCGCAGTCGTGGCCAGAGGCATGCGCTTTGTGCCTGCCATGCTGATCTTCGCCTTATTTTCCATATTAACTTTTGCGTTCCTGGTGACCAGGAGTGCCATGGCTTCTTCTTCACCAGGCAGCAGCTCGGTGGGGAGAAGCAGAGCATGGGAGTCACCAACCAGCCGGGGACCTGAACCCCACGCAGCTCAACAGCCATTCCTCCGCAGCACGCCGGGCCCATGTTCCAATTTTTAAAAATATTATTTGATTTTCATACATTGCTTTTTTGGTCCTAATCATTGTTGAGTTGGATTTCTTGAGGATAATTTCTCCTGCTCAATTGAAGAAGGGGGCCGTATTTCTCTTTGAAATGGTTACAACGTTATTTTCCCAAAGGTGGCCAGGTGTGATTTGATTTCTGCGAATCCCGAGAGCTATGGCAGTGTTCTTAGGCTGTGATATTAATGCATATTAAGCCAAACGAGAATTGGATTTTTATCCAGATGGAGCTTATAGATTTCTTTCACGATGAAACATGCTGAAATTATTTACGTTTACATTTAATGCACCTTTTTACGCATCGACTTTGGAGTTTATTAAATCACGTAATCAGATTAGGCACTTGTACTTGTCTAGGGGGACCAGCCTCGTGCAGGGAGGGGTGATGGAAGGCAGAGCCTTGCCGGAGAACAGGCTCTGAGTGGGGCCTCTGTGTACCTGCCACCCAGAAACTGGGGCTATGCCAAGGTGGTGGCGGCAGATGTGATGGGAAAACAAGGGCTATGTTCTTCTAGAACAGTGTTACGATATGATGGAAAGAATCCTGGGGAGGAAGTCAAGAGGCCAGTGATCTGGTCCCAGTTCCATATGATTTAGGGCAAATCACTTCATCTCTCTGGGCTTCTGTTTTCCACACTGTAGAAGACGACCACGGGACCCGGTCGGTCAGTGGTTCTCCACCTGAGAAGTCTACCGCTTTCAAATATTAGAAACTCATTCAGATGAAAACAACAATCACAATAGCAAAAACAAGAAACCAGTATTTCATGAGGCTAGCAAAACACACCCCTAGGCAAGGACAAGCCCATAGCCCACCAGTTTGCAACCTCTTGTCTGCAGACAAATAATGTTTTCGGTCATTTTGTGTGTGTGTGTGTGTGTGTGTGTGTGTGTGTGTGTGTGTGTGTGTGCAGAGGCTGCTGTGATGAGTATCACACAGATTCATTTAAATTTGTGAGTGAATCCACAGTAACTTCAGATACCAGCAGATATTTTCAATCAACAGGTATTAATACAATCACCACCATGTGAGAGTCTACAGAATGTTTGGAAATTACAGTATGGCCCTCATTCTTGCAAAGCTTGGGAATGAGTAGGATCCTTAGTGGACCCCTGCCACCTGCTCTCTCCCTGCAAGAAAAAAAAAAAAGAAAAAAAAGCAAGCACTGCCCTCCTGCTTTTTGGAGCAGGTGTTTTAGGTCATGGAGGTTCCGTAGAGGGTCTACAGTGGTCCCCCTTACAGCACAGTGGTCCCAAAGGAACCGCAAAGTGGTACAACTTCCTCGTCTCTACAAGTGGAGACTTGAAATGCAGTAGCAGGATGCTTGGGTGGCTTAGTTGGTTAAGAGACTGCCTTGGGCTCAGGTCATGATCCTGAGTCCCAGGATCGAGTCCCACATACATCGGTCTCCCTGCTGAGTGGGGAGTCGTCTTCTCCCTCTGACCCTCCCCACCTAATGCTCGCTCTCGCGCTCCCATTCTGTCTCCCAATAAATAAATAAATAAATAAAAATCTTAAAAAGAAATGCAGTAGCAAGCTCTAAGTCTTGAAGCAAAGTAAGTTAAATTGGATTTAGTAATTAATCCACATTTGTTGTGAAGGATTTTTAACTGGGAGTAGTCAGAATAGCAAAATCGGAAGGAAGGAAGGAAGGATGGAAGGAAGGAAGGAAGGAAGGAAGGAAAGGGAGACGGAGGGGGAGGGAAGGGAGAGCAGGGAGTGAGGGAGGCTGACTTGCAGGCGTGACTCATTATAGATGAATCTTGCTTTGCACCTTTGTTCAAGCTACTGCTCTTGACCCAGAAACCACCATCCTCCATTCCCCAAGCCACTCCTGCTCCCTTCTGCCCTCACTCAGGAACATCATGTTTCCTGGACTCCACTGATGGCCCCCAGGGAAAAGCGCTTCTCCTGGGCTCTTCCTCTGCTTGCTGTGCTGCCCCAGGGTCCTGCACTTTCCCGTTCCCTGGGGCATCTTCTTTCTAGGCTTTGGTGAGGCCAAATCCCATTCATTTTTGTATCTCCACCACTAACACAGCACCTGGCACACACGTGGGCTTAGCAAGTGTCTGGGAGGGAAAGACTCTTGTTTGTCAGCTTCTGCAGGAGGGGGAGGAGCTCAGTGATCCCCGGATGTCCTGAAATTCCCGGTCAAGGGCTCATATTCTTCATCCGGGCCCTGTCCCCCTGCCCTTCCCTCGCTGTCAACATGGAAAGTTGCACAAGCAGGCAATGATCCCCTCGAATCTTAAAGCCAGGACAACAGCAGAAGTTTCTGGAGTTTGACCGTGAGTGACCTCAGTTCTACAATAATCACTCTGAGTCTAAATCTGTTGAGTCTGAAATCATGTAACTTTCAATGCAATGCCTTGTGTCTTTTCTGCATTTGTTTCTATTCTTGAGAATTAAGGAGTGAAGACGTTCGCTACTCCTGCCATCCATTTTCTCCTCAATAGTAGGAGGAAACATAACACCCCCCACCCTCGCCAGAACTGAAGTTGGAAAGGACAGAGCAGGTTCTGTTCTCTGCGACAGCATTCGTGTCCCCCGAGTTCCACGGGGTCTGGCTGGACATGAAGCAGGAATGTAGAGAAAATAACCTAATCTGAGAAGAGGAAAAATAAACCATCTCCTCTTGACAGAAACTGAGAATCAGGTTCCTGTTAACCTTTATCGCTGAGAAGCAGCCTGGAAAACAGTGTGAGCTTCAGGCCTGTCATATTATTATTCTGTAACCCTGGATATTTAACTCATCCTGAACTTTCCATCTGCGCTAGGGAACTTGTGAGTCAAAATGCCCAGAGGAAAACAGACCTCAGACATCTCAATCCACACACTGAGGCTCAGGGCAAACTAGGGGAGCACCAAGGAGAAGAAACTTCTGGAGAAGTGGGAAACATTGATGGTTCAGTTACAAAATCCGAATTTTTGTTTTTTAAAACCGATTCTGTCCCTTTTGATTTTCCTGAGAGCTCCTCGTTTTTGCCAGTAGGTGGCGATGTTGCATTTCCTTAACCACCAGTGCGCGGGTTGGGTGGGGGGATCCCGCTGCGCTTCCTCGTAGACCTGGTTCACAAAGAAAATTCCAGGTCTCTGGGTAAAGCCAAGGAACTGAATGCTTTCGTGTAGATTCACAGGGTCTGCACGGACAGTTCCAAGTCTGGCTCTGTATTAACCTTG